TAAAACCATGTCTGTCCATGTTGCATGACATAATCAGAGAATACTCATATTGTCAATGTCAGAAGTCTGGTTATATAATGGATGTTTTATAAACCCAACAAAAGCCCTCAGGGCACATCAGAAGGGGATGTTGTCTTCCCCAGGCTGAAGTCACTTGGCACCGAGTGCATCTTTAAAGACTCCTAAGGTGTGGTAATATCTGTGACTCATGAATTGTCCTTTCACTCTTTACAGATTACAAGATTTCCAGGATTAATAAGCTCTGAGAGTATGACCTCATTTGTTTACTGCACACAAACAGCATTACAGTAAATACCATGCTTATTAACGCAAATTGGCAGAAACCACTTGCCAGATATGACCAAAGAAGGGCAAGGGCAAAGCATCTAGAATCATTAAATGAATGGATTCATTTACACAGGGCCATGGAAAAGCTAAGGCTGCTTGGCCCAGAATCCTCAGAAAACAGCAATATTGGGCTCACAGAGCCGGCAAAGCAACTGGTCTTCAGTGTCCTGAGGAAGCTTGGCCACAGGCATCCAGGAGGTACCACGTCTCCTGAATGGGAGAGAGGAAGGAGGTTGTAGAGGCAGGCCTGGCAGGCCAGTGGCCAGGTGGGCAAGAAGCTGGGTCAGGACAGTGAATCAGGGGGGTAATTCGGGCAACCGGCTACTCCTCCAAGCTTCTATGAGATCTGTGACTTTCACAATCCATGTTTTTATTTTTGGTGCTTGTGGAGTGTGTGCAGTGGCAAAGAGTGCAGGAAGCCTGACCTGGTCATCATCCCCACTCCTCACGGGTGTGCACTAACCCTCAACCTCTGCAGATCTCAGGTCCCCGACGCCTGGAAATACAGGATGTTATCAATGAGCAGTCGGGATTAGCTCAGAGTAGATCCAGCATTCCTAATTATCTTAATTTCCACTCAGAAAGAACATCTGGAATAGATTTAATTCGAGCCTGCCCATAAGCAGCCCACACCTCACACTCCTCCACATGCCTTACATGCTGCCTGGGATAAAAATGTTCTCTTCCTTGGAACATTTCATATGGCCCCCTGCTCAGAGCTTTAGAACAGACACAAGGCAATACATCCCCAGGGGCATTAGAAGAGGCTTGCTGAGATCAAGATCAAGATCAAGACCAAAAGGAAGGTGTAGGCACAGCCTGTATGCTGGAGAAGCAGACTACAACAGCTTGCAGCACCTTGCCTGTGTCACAGCTCCCATGTCAAATAAAGAGCTTCGAGGCCTATAAATGAACAGGTGCAGAAAACAGACCCACCTGAGTGAAAAGAACAAGAGGGTTGGCTAGGAGTGGAGTACCTTGGCCATCAGCAACTCTGAGAACCTGGAAACACCCATGTTTGGTTGTCATCTCTGGCCTCCCTTCCAGGACATTTCACACCTGTCCCCATCTTGCTCCTTCTTCTGTAGCGGAACTGCACTACTAACTAGCCAGCACCCACCATTTAGACCATAGTCTTCAAAGCCTGCTCCTTAGGACCCCATGACACTCACGATTTCATTCAGAGTTAGGCTTCCTATTGCGGTGATGAAACACTGTGACCAAAAGCAACTTGGGGAGGAAAGGGTTTCTTTGGTTGAAATATCTTGGATCACAGTCCATTGTGGGAAGCCAAGGCAGGAACTCAAACTCGGTGGGAATCTGGAGGCAGGAGCTGATACAGAGGACATGGAGAGGTGCTGTTTACTGGCTGTTCAGACTGCTTTCTTATAGAAGCCCGGACCCCCAGTCCGGGATGGCACCACCTACCCATGGGCTGGGCCCTCTCCCATCAATCACTAGTTAAGACAATGCCTTACAGGTCTGCCTAGAGCCCAATCTTCTGGAGGTCTTTTCTCAAACAGGGAACACTGCTGATTCCAGCTTCTGTCAAGCTCATGTCAACACCAGCCAGTAGAGGCACCATTGGATTGTGTCTGCCTTTCAAAGCTTTCTGCACATTGGAAGAGATATAAGCAGAAAGAAGTAAATCTTGGGTGATATAGTTCTGCGTCAACTGGACACTGTGAAGACTGACACCACAAAGAGCTAAGATCCTGAGCCATTACTGCAGTGGGGAAACTTAGGCTTTTATTTCTCTGTTTGTTTAGGGAAGTGTGCGATTGGGGAGATACTATCATTTTGTCCTTACTTATGCTTTCATGTATCTTTCCCGTGAGCCTCATCCTGATCTGCTCAACCATCAGTGTACCTTTCACATGCTAGGAAAACATGCCATACATAAGGTTATGTCCATATGAGACTATTCAAAGGTGATCTGTTTGGTATTCATTTATGCTGGTATTCTTGTCGGGAGAAAGATGTCCTCTAGGAAAGTTAGTTGTCAGAACACATCTGGATGAGTTATTCTATTCTTGACTTTGCTAATGATAAAGTCAGGAAAATCCTGGACCTTAACTCTATAATTTTTCAGTTGTGTTTATGTCCTGAGTGGAACAGTATGTTTAACATCTTAGCCCCTACCCACCAAAGACCCAAGAGTGCCTCTACTAAACATCCAAGAGTGCCATTCATTCACATTCATCCAACATCCAGAGTACTCCTTCACTAAGCACTCAGGAGTGTCCTCTATTAAGCATCCAGGAGTGTTCCCAATAAATACCAGAAGTGACATTTTAGGTTATGATGTCTACAAATGTCTCAAAGAGTTGCCAAATTACTCCACTTGAGAATCACTGAATTATAGTTTACAAAACTGGGGGTGGGGGTGGGGACTGGAGAGATAGCTCAGCAGTTTGGAGCATTTGCTGCTCTTGAAGAGGGCCTGGGTTCAGATCCCAGCACCCACGTGATGATGGTTCCCACACAGTAATCTAACTCCATTTCCAGGAAATCCAACACCTTCTTTTGGCCTCCACAAGCACTGCATGCAGCTGGTTCACTTACATCCATGCAGGCAAAACACACACATACAAAGTAAAAGAAATCTAAAAGTAAAATTTAAGAAAAATTACAGATTAAGTTGGGCATCATGACACATGGCCAATCCCAAGATTATAAGGCCTACAATTCTATAAGCACTCAAGAGGGAAGAGGCCAAGGCAGGAAAATCTTTAGTTTGAAACCAGCATAGAGAGGCCCTACCTTAAAAAAAAAATGCACAGCTGTTTTTACAGTATGGCAACATGCTATGCAATTCAGAATTATCCCCACTCACCTCTGTCTTATTATGAGGCAAACAGCTTCAAAGAAAAAAGTTAATTGTGCAACTAATACACCATTTCAAAACAAGAACATTAGGTGAAGCTCCAAACAGAACCCAGATTGGAAGATATTTCTTCTGCTGTTAGTCATGAAACAGGCTTTTCAAACAACACATGCTTTGGGGAAATAATAAAACCACTTGGGGCACATATGCAACTTGTCCTAGCAGCTGAACCAGTAGCAGACAAATCTCAAAGACAAAGACACTTTTTTTGTTTGTTTTTAAACATCTACTCTACACTAAAATAGAGATGCAGCACTAACTCAATAAGGCTTTCAAGCATCTTTTCAATTGATAAGGCTTTCCAAATTACCGCAGGCCTGAAACATTAGACGTACACTCTCTTAGTGATCCCTATGAAGCAAGAGGTAGCAACAAAATATTTCTCTGTGCAGAGACAGCAGTGATGGCAGAAAACATTGTGTCACGGTTTAAAAGGAGAAAAAAGCATCCAGATGAGGTTTTTACCATAAAAAAAATGTAAGTGAGGAGGCAAGTATTTTTTTAAAAATCCATTTAAATATCATACAGTGTGTGGAAAAATCACCCTATCTCATTAATATGCATGTCTTTTATATTTTTTATGTCAGTTAGCTTTTTCTATTATGCTGTCAAAATTCTCAGCAAATATGAAAGTGTTTGTCAAAATGTGGGGCATTCTGGTCTTTCTGTAGTGAAGAGAATTCCCTGTGCATCTTAAGATACAGAGCTCTTGAATGGAAAACCTCAGGCCCTAGGAACCCAGGCCTTGGACCACTCTTCTCTGAGGGGGGGAAAAAGTTAGACCCTCCCACTCGATCTCTTAAAGATGAATGTAGTCTTTTAAGAAAAGTTTTAACTACTTGTTTTTAACCTCAGGTTATCTCTGTCACTTCCAACCCTTAGATACCTAGACTAGCCCACTTGGGCCTTTTCTAGCCAATGGCTCTCCAAGGGTGGTTCCTGGAGGTACACTACTGAGAATACAAACTCAGAAATGCATATATTTCATCCCTGATTCCAGGAGCTGGGTCCAACCTGTTACAGCAAATGCTGCAGGTGGTATCTGTGAGCCCTTAGAGTTGAGCCTACTAATTCAGGACAGTTTCTATATCCTCTATCAGGTATATTTTAATACATAAAGTAAAGCTGTGATTCTTATCTCACCCTCAATCCACTGCAAGGGAGGTAACCCCACTTCAGCGTTGTCAAAGGATCGCTCTTGATTCCACACTGAACAGAGGCCTGTCGAGTTTTACTAAAGAAGTCTTAAGTTATTCTCTTAACTGTTTTGGCTTCCTTAGCTTTCCTCTTTGGAATACCCTGGAAAGGCTAGGTGGTGGAAGAGTGTGACAGCTATGAGGGTAAGGGACACATCCCTCTGGTCACCAAGTCCGAACTGAAGTGCAGGGTTCAGCTGAGGAACATTTCTTCCTTCATTTCCCTGGGTGACTACAGAATGCCAAGGAGTTCTAGCGCCCTGAAGGAGACACGCCTACCCCCTTCATCCCCAAGAGCCTTGAACCCTACCCTCAAACATCTTAGCACCCAGGCTGCAGGTGACCTGTGAGGGGCCTGAAACTAGGGAGCCAGCCCACCTGGAGCTGCGGGAAGAGGTGCAGGGCAGGGACCCTATCCCTGTGGGAGCGGGCATGGAGCTGCTTCTCGAGTCCCTGGGTCCCCGGTGCCTGGGGGCTGAAGGGCGCCTCGTCTCTGTGTCCCCAGGTCTCCGAGGGCGAGGGTGCAGGACGGTCTGCACCACGCGCGCGGGTGGGAGGGGACCGCTCACCGTGTGGGTCGCTCTTCTCCCGGGCGCCGTCTACACGGCCGTCAGGGTGGATGCGCAGGAAGAAGCCGCCGTTCTTGCAGTAGAGCCGTTTAGGGTCCTTGAAGTGACCGGGCGGGAAGGCGGCGCCGCCGTCCTCGGGCAGTGCGGGGAGCGTGGTGATGCTGCTGGCAGCCATGGTCCCTCCGCGTCCCCGGGACCCCGCTGCGGCGGCTCGCGGGGCTCCCCGGCCCCGACCCCGGCCTCGGCCTCCCAGCGCAGCTCGCCCGCGGGCAGCCAGCCTCCCGGTCCTGGTCCCGCTGCACACACAGCCCTGTGCAGGACTCTGCCCGAAGCCCAGAACCCCTGTGTGGCACAGAGGCCCCGGACCGTGTCACCCCAAGTCCCCGCCTGCACCCCAGCCCCGCGCGCCCCCGCCCCACGCGCCGCCTCCTCCCCACGCCCGGCGCCTAAAAGCTGCAAGGAATCTGTCCTGCTTGGCCGAGCTTTCTCAGGGCGACTGCGGTGACGCAGCTGCTAAAGTTTAAAAAGCAACTTTCTCGCTTGCCCTGCACGCGTCCGCCTTTTAATGCCAGCGACGTGCCTTCCACCCCCAAATAGTAGAAAGAGTTTGACCTGGGGAGGGATGGAGTCAGGCTTTGGAAATCTCCAGTCTCCGCAGAGACCGTGGCAGAGAAGGGGGCGCCTGGGTTTCCTCTCTGGGCGCCCAGCCCGAGACAGTGTGGGAAGATTAAAAAAAAAAAAAAAACCGGCTTCGAGTTCTTAACACGTAAAAGCCCAGAGCTGGCGCTTGCCCTGCCTCAGTTGTTAGATATTTCTTGGAAAGAACAGTCTCATAAAATTGCAGTTAATTGCGGGTGATTTTCAGTAGATCCCAATAGGCTGTACATTCAGATTCTCTGCAGCTCAGTGTTCTAGGTGTTTTTCTCCTCTAGGTCCTTCTAGGTCCTTCTGTCTCCTGGGGGCACACCTCTCCAGTGAGGCTGACTACCATAATACCAGTTGGAAAATCTGCACACAGCAAGTGTCCATGCTCAAAGTATCGGAGATGTGCGGTCCGTGGCACAGAAGACCAGGAGGGTGAACACGAGTAATTTCTCTGAGTACTCAGACACCATAGAGTACTACCACACCTTGGGGAAATGTAGACTTAAGGAAGCTTCTAGAAGTGCCACTGAAGGGTATCTACTTTAGCCTCCAGGGAATCTTGACTCAGTGTGTGATGGGATTTAGTAAATTCCCCAAAGCTTTAAGACCAAGCAAGCCTCTTTCCAGCAGAAGAATGTATGCAAGTAATCCCCCACTCCCCGAACCCCTCTCCTGCTAAGCTCATGGCTAAAGCCCCCATGACATGTGACAAATTAACATGACAAAAATGCTGATTTATTTAATGTAAATATGGAATCTTGGAAAAAAAACAAACAAAAACAAAGGCCTGAAGCTACACAGAAACTCATATGTCTTTTGGTTGGGAGAAGTTGTGTATAATTGGGGAGAATAGTGATTGGACAGGGTGCCATCTTAAGGGCTTAAGTTGGTGTAGTTGGGTTCTTGTTTGTTACTCTTTACAGACCCTGCAACCTAGCTCCCAAATAATCACAAGGAGACTTATTCTTAGTTAAGAATGCTCAGCCTTAGCTTAGCTTGTTTCTAGCCAACTTTTCTAAATTAACTTATTTCATTTCCCTTTAACTATGTTTTGCCTCTGAGCTTTTTACCTCCCTTTACTCTATATATCTTTTTTTGTTTGTTTGTTTGTTTTTTGTTTTTTGAGACAGGGTTTTTCTCTGTATTGCTTTGGAGCCTGTCTTGGAACTCGCTCTGTAGACCAGACTGGCCTCGAACTTACAGAGATCCACCTGCCTCTGCCTTCCGAGTGCTGGAATTAAAGGTGTGGGCCACCACCCCCTGGCTATTCCATATATATTGCTTTCCTTATTACTCTAGGTCACTGAGTGGCTGGGTGGCTGAGGGGCTGGCTGGCTGAATGGCTGGCCCCTAATTCCTCCTCTTCTTCTCTGTTTCTCACCCCTCCCCTCTTCTCTTTCTTCTATTTATTTTCTCTGCCTGGAAACCCTGCCTATTTCTCTTTCCTGCCTAGCTATTGGCCGTTCAGCTCTTTTAGGTGTTTTAGATAGGCAAACCAGCACAGCTTTACAGAGTTAAACAAATGCAAAATAAAAGAATGCAATACATCCTTGCATCATTAAACAAATATTTCACAGCACAAACAAATGGAACACATCTTCAACTAATATTCCACAAGCTGGTGTGGGACTTAGCAAGTCTTGGCTATTCTGATTGTGTCCCTGTCCTCAGAGATGGGAACTCCCTGACCTGTAGATATAGGGTGGGCACCTCTCAAATTCAGGTTTTATGACCTGAGTAAGAAAAGACTAAGGGGTTGCAAGAGCACTTGTTCTGCCTTTTTCTTTTCTTTTCCTTCCTTTTGTTTTTCAAGATAGGGTTTCTATATAGCCTTTGGCTGTCCTAGAACTCATTCTGTTGACCAGGCTGGCCTTGACAGAGAATCTTCCTGCCTCTGCCTCCAGAGTGCTGTGATTAAAGGCCTGCACCAACACTGCCTTCTCTTGCTTTTTTCATAAATGCTGAGGTGCCACTTGGGAGCAACATGCCCTCAACCCCATTGGTTCTCTGGCATTACTGTCTAGAATGCATTACTCTCATCTTCACTGAGGGTCCACTCAGCTAAGCAGCTCCTCCAAAATGTTGAGAATGGCCTAGGGAAGGTGTAGTAGGACCCCACCCAGAACCTTCCAGATGTTGAGAATGGCTGAGGGAAAGCATGGTAGAACCCCATCCAGCACCTTCCAGATGTTGAGAATGGCCTGTCTATGCAACATGTGTATGCCTGGTGTTCAGGCAGGCAGTCCTGAGCCACTGTATGTGGGTGCTCGAAACAAAACTTGAGTCCTTTGCAAGAGAAGTATGTGCTTAACCACTGAGTGTTCTCTCAAGTAGCCCATGGATTTAGTATTTTATTAAAGGAACCATTTAAAATACAAGTTTAAAGTCATGTTCCTTTTAAATAATTTGTTGATAACTGGAAGCAGATTTATTTTTGACTTTTAAACCAGCTTTTGGTTACTTAAGATACAATGTTTCGCTTAAAAAAAAAAACATACAGGCGAAACAAACACACTCAAAACAATAACAACAACAAAAACCCAAAAGTTAACAAATAATAAGGATGCTCTTGGACTTCATCCAAATCCACCTCTTCTCTGTGTTTGAGCTCATTTTTTCAAACTCATCTCATACCTTTTTCTGTGTGTTTGCACATGTGCCTGCTTCCATAGGACAGAAGTAGCACTGTATGTGTTAAGAAGGAGATGGTCCTTTAGCAGCTGTCACCACTCCAGCTGTGACCTAGATGTTCTATGGCTCTGCTTGGCTTACTTTAGCTGCCAGGTGCCTAGAGCACAGCATGCCCACACACTGAGGATCCAGTGCTAATGCCTGTGCAGACTACATATGTGTTTGTTGCAATAATGGTCTTGGTACTTGTCTCCATGTGCATGTATGTAGAATATTGTTCCCCAAATTTTGCTCGACAGAGTCATTCAATCTTAATGGCACTGTCAAGTCCAGCCATGAGACATCTGTACTGATCCACAGACCCATCAACAGTGAAGACATCTATGTCATTCTTGCCCAAGCATCCACACTAGAAAGCTGAGAAAGCTAGGAAGTAGACAGATGACAAAACTAAAGTTGAAAAGCTGTTACACAAATTGAAGGTTAAGCTAAAATTAACAGTGTAGATCTAAGAAAGGCTGTGCACCTAAGATTAAAAAACAGTTGGCCAGTGGAACATGGCAGACCCCTGGTCAGAAGAGACCAAGAGTAACTGCCACACCTAACTTCACAAAATGCTAACATGAACCAACTTCATTACAATTGTTTTCAGACAAGATCTCATGTTTCCAGGACTGACTATGAACTTGCTGAAGATGACCTTAAATTCCTGATCCTGCTATTTCCACCTCCCAAGTGCTGAGATTACAGGCATAAACAACCACTCTGAGGTTGATATAGTGGTTGGGGTTGAACTATGGACTTTGGCATGCTTGACAAGCACTCTACCAACCGAGAAATATCCCCAGCCAATACAGGAATACAGATGGTTTTAAAGAGAGAGGGGCCACACAGGATGAAGAGCATGTACAGGTTCCCATCTACCAGCAGGGTCTCATTCAGAGACTGAATGATGCTGCACAGAGCAAGAGAAAGGAACACTCCTGCTGTAGCTCAACAGGTAGAATATTCAGTCACCATGACCCTTACAGGGCTTGACCTTTCTGGGCAAGAGGATCCATCCTAGCCACCACAGGCTTCTTCCATCTCTACAGCTCAAAGTTCTGTTCCCTGAGAAATATTACTACTTTTCCAGACACATCCCAGACATCAGTAGCTTCACCCTGACCACACATGGGCAATCAGTGATGCACACCAGGCTCAGGAACATGACAAACCCTGACCATCCAGACGGGTGAGCATGCCCAGTGTTTGCATTGACACAAGAGAAATGGGAACTTTTTCTTTCATCACTGAGGAAGCATTGGCTTTGTCTGTGGTCCAAGTTTACTTTCCTTCAGCCAAAATTATGACTTTGTTTGTAACTTTCCAGTCAGTGACCTAACCCTGACCTACAGCAGTCACCCACTCCCCACTGGAATGGAAAAGGTCATTTAGTCACCTTAGCCTGCAGTCCTCAGGAGAATATAGTTTTCCAGCTCAGTGCAGTGTTCTGAGAGTCCATGTCTTCTCTCAAAGTGTCAGAAGAAATGGGTGGCAGTGTTTTAAAAGTTGGAATGAGATTCGGCTAGATTTTAAAATTTCATTTTTTTTACACCATTCCTCTTAGGTAGGAAAATACATGTCACTAAAGTGTTCAAAACAATACAGTTTGGAAAGTTACCGTTTCCATCAGTGATTACAGGAAAAGTTCAATGAGAACCATAGGCTAGGCTCATTTACATAAGAGAATAAATACACAGGAAATTCTGATGGCCACAAGGACAACTGTTTAAACCCAGATCTTGCAAATATGTGTGAACAGCTAAAGGTATTAATTTTCTAATTTTATTATATATTATAGAATATTTGGAAGTCTCAGAACTTACCTTCTGAGAAATAATTTCAGAGGAACTGACTACCAAAAACATGACAGAAGACAAAATTTTAAAGCAAGGGCCTAGAGCAATGGAGAATTGGATAAATTGCTTGCCATGAGCATGCAAGTGTAAGG